CCGCGTCCATGGCGAGACGCGTGCTCCCACGTCCGCCAGGACTACGCACGGCAACAGGTCGCGGTTGCCCGCCGCCGCCGACACAGGCCGGGGTTAGGGCGCGTGCGGGGGCGTGATTTATTTGCGGGGAGGTGGGCCTCGACGCAGACCCATGCAGGCGGGGCGACGCCAGAGCGTGCGGGGTTCACGATCCGGACTCGCCATTAAGCTAGGGGCGAAGCGAATAATACTTGGCATTTGTGCGACCCAGATTCTCAGACAGGGACCCACGCGGGCGGGGTGACGCGGGAGCCACAGATTAAGCTAGGCGAAGCGAATTAGGTTTTTTTTAGGTGTAGAGATGCAAAGATAGAGAATAATAATTAGGTTAGATTTTCAATTGTAGAACATATTTTATATGAGTAGTCTGTCACGTTTTGTATTTTTATCTTAGCGTGGCGACGCTGTGCACAAACCGGACTCGGACTCGTACTCGTGATTGGTTATCTTCCACACGTATTAGCCGTGCAGAGAGGGGCTAGCCGGATTAAGCTGGCAAAAGCATTAAGGGCATGTTTGATGCTCCAGGCAGCTCAGACGCCAGGTAGCGTCCCCAGGCGTTCGATCGTCTGGGGCTGCGATCGCTTGCCTGGCAGCAGCCCAGGCGAGGGCGGCATCCAAACCCGCCCTAAGAGCTGGGGGACCCACGCTAGTACATCCGACGATAACATTACTAATATTTTAGGTGTAATAGATAAACCAGCCCAGCCCAGACCACGTAGTGTACAAACGAAAATGAAGCCCAACTAAGTAAGCCCACGAACGCACACCTGGATCTGGTGAGGGCGACACATGTCCAGCTCGGCCACCTCCCACCGGTCGCCCCAGCTCCGGCGCCCGCCGAGGCGGTGCTGGAGACCGGACCAGATCACGGGCCGCGGCGTCCCACCTCCGACCTGACCCTCTCCGTCCACCAACGCGGCCCCGAGTCAGCCGTCCAGCGACAGCAACTGTCACCCGAATTGGCCTGGCCTGCTCCGACGACGGTCCAGCCTCCGACGAGGCTCCGACCCCAATGCAGGTAGCAGCTCCTCGAACCACGCTTTCCACATGGAGATTCTCTGACGCCCGGCGCGTTCTCTTGTCCCGCCGCGCGCAGGGCTCGTCGTCGCGGCACGGCGCGCGCGCGTCGCGTGGCTCACACGGTTGGTGGCCGGTGGCCCGCACATGGGGGCCATCATGGGGGAAGCAATCAAGCAGGAGCCGGGGGAGGGTGCTGTGCCTATCGGCGAGGCGATTCGTCGTGCACGATTTGCAGCTGCAGGTGAGGATCAGGCGAATCGCACGAACAATCATGGAATTGTGGTTGTACCTCCTACGTAAGCGAATCGCACGCAGGATCCCCTCGTGTTCTTGCTGGGCGATTTGTAAAAATGAGACTCGAAACATCGGTCGTTTTTAGATTTGACACTGGACCCACATTCATAGATACAGATGGACTCACATTCATAGACATAGATAGACCCACTTGTCATCCACTCGAGTGTCATCATAACCACATTATCCGTGATAGGATTCTTTGATAAAATCATGGGTAGGTGTGCTGCCTTGTACCGTACATGTTTTACAAATTTCTTGGGCTACAACTATATGAGCTTTGATTAAGAAATAGCAGAGAAAACATGCCACACTGCTCTAGGGACTTTTGTTTTGCTACTGCTCCAGGGGGGGTGATGAGGGTAAGAAACAACAAAGGGTGGTGTTGGTTAAGAGTGACGAGGTACAACTTACCTGGTGGAAATATCATTCCAATCTTGTTTAGAAAGCCAAGCTATTTTTTTCCCCTGAAGAGGACCTACATGATGCCACCTCTCTAATACAAATGTCCAGTCCAAGTCACGAGTCATTGCAACATCAGCTCTGGGAGGAATTACATATCGATTTGAACATTGGAGACTGATTGTTGCCTTGGACCTTAGCTTGCTAAGCATGTTAGCAGGAATCTATACCGAGTGCAACTTGGTAGTCCTTTTGTTTTCAGTAGTTAGGCAGATAGGTCATGCAAGTGACTTTGACAAAGTTTTTTTTTTTATTGCTATCCATTTTCAAAGTTCACTATGCGTCTGCTTATTCGTAGGTGTTGAAAACTTGATTTATTTATTGATTTGTTTTTTTTTTTGCTTTCTGGCTAGGCTCATCTTTCAGTTTCAGGTACAGCCCAGTCTTCTGAAAGAGAAATCAGTTGACCATCCATTGCCGCCCTTGTTTCATGATGTGCTGCTTGGATAACCAAACCTGATTTCTTCTTGTTGCTCTATGTGCTAGGATGAAAACGAACTATTCACCACAGTTGCCAGTTGATTTTACTTATATCTACAAAAGCACAATTTGCTCTTTACATAGACAAAATATCAGTTGTCTTCTACTGCCGCTCTATCACTCTTACATTTTGGAATTGATGCTGGAATCTTTTACCATTAGCTACCTCATACTGCATTATGTCATTGGTGGGGCCATGCTGTAATATTAATTTTGTCCCCCCAAGAAAATTTGTGCCGACAGAAAAGAAAAAGGCTGACGTAACCATTAGTATCTTGATAAACTAACCACTCAGCAAAATAGAAAATAGCATAGCCTTTAACATGTGCCAATCTAGACTTGCCTTTTGTTTGACCTAGAGGAAGACTAGCTTCTTGACCGAGAACCATGTTTTTATCTTCAAAAGATACAGGCACCATGCTCTGCCCAGGCTGTCTGCATTATTTCAACTAGTTAACCAATAGTGTGCATCTTTTTTCATATAAACTGAAAGGAGACTCTGCAGTATCGGTGTGGTCATCTTCATTGGCCACTTGGTGATTCTTCATTTTTCAGTTCTTCATCGTGTAACTTATGCTGTATTAGGAAGTGTATATTGGTAATCAAAGGTGATACTTTAAGGAACCTTCTGGTTATAAGGAGACCACACTGAGCTGATGCTCAGAATATACGAGACAACAGTTTGGTATGCTGCGGTTGTCTTCTGCTATCACTAGAGATGCTTACAACAACTTAAGGCATTTGATTGGAGGAATTCCTAATGATCTTTGTCCACTAGGTTAAGTTGTGTTATGTTGATGATATGCTCGAAGTCTTCTCTCCCTTGTTGCAACTTTTTCTTTCATGCTTAGTGATGATCATCAGATCCCCCAATTATGACTAGTAGTCTAGGAGCAAAGTAATTTCGTTATAAACATTTATGTTAATGGCCAATTCCATCAATGTCTCCTGAAATCATCACGAAGGTTTCACGCATATTATACTGAAATTGAAATGCTTTCTTTCCTTTTCCAGTTGCATTGCTTGCTAGCTATGATTAGGATGATACTGAGGCATTCCACCTGCCGGCCTTAACTCATCTGATGTCATTGACAGAAGGCGTTCCATGAGCATGGTAAGCTACAAGCTACTAAGTGCCTGAAGCCATGGTTGACTAAATGGACCATAAAGTTGTCCCTATCAGTTTCAGGCAATTAATTAGAGCCCTCCATGATGAAATCTGGGACATATATATATGATATTTGAATGCACTAAAGCATATAACTCTGGCACCAGATCAGTTACTTATTCTTTCTGGCAAAACCTGTGCACTGTTACATTTTTATATATTTGGTTTTGAAGGTAGTTGTGTGACTGTGTTCTGTAACTATCCCAATCTGTCAATTCCATTTTAGAAGTAATCAATTTTCGTTTTTATTTCCTAGTATTGTTAAATTGTGCTCTGAAATCCTTTCTATGTTGAACATGAGAAGGAGAGTGCTAAATTGCTAAATGAATTCATAGTGCAGACTTAATCTCTTATGATGTTCCGGTTCCACCATCTTAGCTTGTCCTTGTGTACCAAAAACATTTCTGACTAATGCTTATTTGGGGGGGGAATCAACACATCATCAGCATTTACAAGTTCTGCTGTGCGTCATTATACTCCATCCCCAAGCTGCTGCCACTGCCGGTTCTCTGGAATCAATCATATTCCTTGCCAGGGTGAAGGCCAGGACAAAAGGTTCAGATTAATAGGAACATACAGCTTGGAGCCAAGAAGTCTGTGTGGCGATATTGTTTTCTGTAAGTTCCTCTTTGCAACAACTTTGTTGGATTGTCCTCATTCAATTCCACTGTATTAGCAACATCTAGTAATTATTCATATGACGCGAAAATGACTGCAATGACTATATTAAGAATCTGCCAAAAGATAACTACTTAATTATCATCCTACAATAACGGCGCTGTATGATTTGACATGAAATAAAGAATTCAGTCTGGAAACAAGGTGGTGTCATGAGCTCATTGGTCATGAGCTCATTGGTCACTGACTCACTGGTAGTTATTGAACACACATTGTATGATATATGTAAATTGTGTTTCAGCTGGTCATATCAAATATAAAGTTTAAGTGTGTATACTATTTTTATATAAGACACATCATAGATGAAGTTTAAGCGTCGCATTTTTTATGGATCAGATTATATTGTCGGAACACATACTGTGCACAATGTTGAAGTTCAAAGCATATGCTCTGCATCTAGGGTTGCATTTATTGCTTTTTTTATTATAATTGCTATGTGACTACATTTTAAGATCACACAGCAAATAGCAACACAACATATATAGAATTTCTTATTCGTATATGGACTATATGACAAAATGCTGACACGTAGCAAGAAGCGCTACAGGAATATGCCTCCAGCGCCTTCTGAGTTTCTTCTGCTTCTTTCTGACAGGTCACCAAAACTGACACATCACAGTTTATTTTTGGGAGTATGTATACCCTGAAGTTGGTAGAGGCACACAAAGGGCCAAACACCTTTGGTCATATCCATGTTACACTATGGCTACCAGATGCAGACAGTTTAGCTTGCATTAGCACGAGGGTCCGCACGCTTTTCTCTTCCAACCTTGTCTCCCCACTTTGCCTCCTTGTTCTGTATATATGTGAACTAAATCACATAGGCCAAACCAACTCTTATGGTAGTCGCAAGCAAATGGAGACCATTTCATATCCTTGTTCTCCTCTTCTCTTCTTTCCTACACATGAAGAGAGTAGCTATTCACTATGGTCTCCTCAACTCACCCTCCATGAGAATGCCACCATACCTGCTGATCCTTCTCCTGATGTAAGAGAAGATTGTGAGTTCTTTGACACCATTGCTATTGATTCTAGTGATTCCCATGACCAACATGCCTTTGATGTTGATGTGTTCACCCATTGTGATGAGAGGTTTCTGTGCCAAGAGAGTGCTAACTTGGCAGCTATCCAAGATGAGCTCATGGAGGAGAACAGTTTGAGTGATCTCCTTCTCACTGGTGCAGATGCGGTTGAGGCTGGGGATTCAAGCCTTGCCTTGGCAGTGCTTTCAAAACTTAATGGTCTCCTCGCTGGCACCTGTGAGAATGCTGCAACCAGCTCTTTCGGTCGCCTGGCCTACCACTTTGCCCAAGGTCTGCAATCCCGGATGTCTGGTGCATGCTCTCCATGCTACCCGCCAGATCCAGTGCAGTCTGGTATCATGTCGGGGAACCAGATGATCCAAGAGCTGTCGCCATATGTCAAGTTTGCACACTTCACCGCCAATCAGGCCATTCTAGATGCCACCATAGGCGACATGGATATTCATGTCGTCGACTTCAACCTTGGTGAGGGCATACAATGGCCATCGCTCATGTCAGACCTTGCTCGCCTTGGCGGCAAGTCATTCCACCTTACAGCAATCATAACAGATGCTGTTTACAGTGACGACACTCATCAAGCAGCTGCGCGGCGGCTTTCGGAGTTTGCCGAGTCCTTAAACCTTCCTTTCCAGTACAACTCTCTCTGCATACACCATGAGGAGGACCTGGACGACTTCTCCAGGAACTGTGGAGGCTCAGTGGTTGTCTCATGTGACACAACGAACTTGTGTTACAGATCAGGTAGCAAGTTACAGATGCTGCTACTTGGCAGTGTGAGGAAGTTACAACCCAAGTCAGTGGTGGTCATAGAAGAAGAGCTGGTCAGAATTGGGAAAGAGGCCTGTTTGTCCCAGGCCTCCTTTGTGGAGTTCTTCTTTGAGGCATTGCACCATTTCACCACGGTGTTTGAGTCCCTGTCGAGCTGTTTCAGCAGCAGTAGCAACAACAGGGCGTGCCTGAGGCTTGTGGAGAAGGATATGGTGGGGCCAAAGATACAGGACTTCGTGGGGCAGTACGGGTCCGTGAGACCAGAGGCCGCCGCTGCTCCAAAGGCTTTGGAAGGGTTTACATCTTGTGAGCTGAGTGCTTGCAATATTGCTCAGGCTAGGATGCTGGTTGGGCTGTTCAACAGGAGCTTTTGGACTGCGCATGAGAAGGGCAGGCTTCAGCTGTGCTGGAAGTCCAGACCTTTGATCTCTGTGTCTGTCTGGACTCCTGTATGAAAGGAAATGAGTTTTTGATTGTTTCATTAGGGATAAATTTTCTTGTAAGAGTTTGCACTGGAGATTTTTCTTTTTATTTTTTGCTGGCAGATTATTTGTAGAATGCAACTATTCAGTGCAAGAATTATATTAGATGTTTTGGTCGATTCTTCTGACTTTTATTATCAGGTTGGTATCAACTTCTATCCAGCCTTTCAGACTTTCAGTTTCAGGCTTCATGGTATTATATAGGCTATTATAAGATTTAAGGACTGTTTGTTTGGAGACCTCCCAAGCAGCTCCCAGCCCAGAGAGCAATCAGGTCTCCAAAATTAGCCTGGGCTCAAACCAAACAGGCCTCTAATGCAGCGAGCACAGAGCAGAGCAGCTATGAGCCCGGCCTGTCCGCTGCTGCTGCTGCTGCTGCTGTTTACACAGTAGCTTGTGTTTTGGTTTTGGATTTTTCTTCTGTTCTCCTAACAAATATTTCCCCCAGAAAAACATATATCTAAGCGAGCTTGCAACTTGTTTGACTATGCCCTGCCCTGATTGGCAACCGGCTTTTGGGGCTACTGCTTCGCCACCGCAACCTGACCGAAGGATAAGGAACTTAGAAACCAAATCTTCACCACCGCAACGTTTTTCATGTACCCCAATAAAAAATGCTTACTTGTTCCAAAAGAAAGAGTGGAGGTTAGAGATATCAAGTTAGAATCGGATCTAGCCTATGAAGAGAAGCCGGTGCAAATTATAGATAGCAAGGATAGAGTAACTCGAAACCGTGTGATCAAGTTTCACAAAGTGATGTGGAATAATCATAGCCAGCAAGATGCTATGTGGGAACAAGAAGATTATTTACGTGAGGTTTATCCCGCCTTTTATGAAAAATGGTAGGTCTTTCGAATCTCGGGACGAGATTTCTACAAGGGGGAGGGGCTGTAACACCCTAGTGTTAAGCATGCATTGGGCACTTGCATTTCATGAGCACAAGCATCATCCAAGCATTCATGAGCATGATCATATGAAGTTTCATCTCATTCACTTTATCTTTAACACATGTGATGTCGCTTATATACATATATATGCTTGCCATTGTATGTGACCAATGCATGAAATGATTGTGAGGTCACAAAAATACCTTAGACACACTTAGGATGGTACATGGAACAAGTTTGGTATTCATGACTTGGACCAAAACAACCCCCAAGTCATAGTTATTCTAGAAACTCCAATTTTCAAGATCCTACTTTGACCAAAGTTGAACTATAGCATAGAGTGTTTGCATGGCAGTGCACCCTTAAGCAAAGTTGTAGTACTTGACTAGAGTAACAACTTTTAGTTTTGGGCCAAGACCTAATTCAGTGCATAACATGCTAAACAATGGCTCACAAGTAGCAACAAAATGCTGTTTTCAAACTTAGAATTTTTTCTTAGTCATGAACTCATTTTTAGTTTCGATGTACCATACTTTGAAGCTTTGCATTTTAAAAACCATGGCGAATTAGAGGAAACTTTCTAAAGCAAAGTTGTAGATCTCGTGTAGCTCTACGATTCTTAGTAATGGAGTTTTTGCTAACTCGCCACGGATTAGGAACACCAGTGGCTTGAAACCGCGATGTCAGTCGTTTCGTCAGGGCCGATGGCCGCGGACGCCGCGCCGTCAGTGTCCGGCCGGCCACAGGCCACGCGTGCCGCGTGGCGGCCGTACGCCCACGTTGGCCCGGCTGGTCGGGCCGAAGCGGAGTGAAAAGCGAGGCGACGCCGCTGCTCCCTTCATTTCTCACTCTCTCCCCCTCGCTCGCCTTCTCTCCTGCTCGTGCACGCAGTAGCGCCGCCGTCGCCATCGCCACGCGCCTCCATCGTGCTCGCTCACCGTGCACGCAGCACCGCCGCCCAATCCACCTCGCCCACAGCTTCGCCACCACCTCCTCTATGACCTCGACCCGCTAGCTTCGCGACTTGAGCAAGGGTAAGGCAACATTCCGAGTCACCGTCACCGCCATGGCCGCGGTGCGCCACCGAGCACGAGCTCACCTGTGGCCAGCCACAACTCGTGCACCTCTACTCTCTCTCCCCCTCATCTAGTCTTCGCCGTAGGTCCTAAAATCTAGATTCACCGTCCATTTAACCGCTACTGCCGCCGCCGTGCGAGAACACGTGATCATGCCGTGCGCGTCCGCCATGGCCGCGCGCACGAGCTCGCCGCCGTCGACCTCAACCGGCCGCCCGTAGACCGCTTTGGTGCCCGGTATCGTGTCGCCTAAAGCTGTAGCGTCTTTCCCCGAAGATGGAGACTCGCCACCGGTTAGCCAGAACGGAAAGCGCCGCCGTCGTGCGTTGTGTGCCGCCGCGCTGCCATGCACACAGCCAGAGCACGCCGTCGCTCCATCGTGACCTAGACCTAACCCTAGAGCTCTGCTAGGTCACCACTAAGCTATAGCCATGCTCGCCCGAGCACGCCATGCCCGGGGATGGCCGGAGTGCCACCGCGTGCCTCTGCCGAGCCGCCATTAGCGTCGCCGCCTTAGCCAACCGTCGTTAGAGGTCCGACGACCTACCTCATTCGACGCGGGACGTTGAGAGGAACACGACAGAGGTAACCTCATCACCGGAGACCTCGCCGTCGGTGAGCTATCGCCAGTCAAACGCCGTCCTCTATTTCGCTTTTGCTGACAAGCGGGCCCCATCGTCATTCTGAGTGATTCTTTGATTTTCTTATTTGTTTTCACAGATTTGAATACATGGTTCAAAATTTCATATCTAGAGCTAGGAGTGTCCAAATTTTGTTGGATTCATCATGAAGTGTACTATTTGATAAAAATATGAAACCTACTGTTTGGGATGTTTTTCTGGGAGAATTAAATTGAGCTAGATAAGTGCAATTAAATTGTTTTCAATCTTGTAAAATGCATAACTTGAGCTAGGAAAGTGATAAAATTGTGATTCCAATTTTGTTAATCTTGTATTGACATTCTCTAGCTAAGAAAAATACTAAACCTACAGTAAGCATACTTGGAATATGGTCTTCCTATTTAATCTTAAATAATTGCTAGTTTCTAGTGAAAATAAATAGGGTAAAAATACATAACTAATGATCATGTAAATTTTTACACAGTGATATGGTGCTGGGATGAATGTAAGAAAAATATAAAATCTGTTGTTTGACATTTTTCACTAGGCTAAACTATTTTTGCTACAATAAGTCTATGTAACTTGTCATTTTTGTAGAGATGGCTATACTTATCCAATTCACATGAAATTTGTACAATAGACTTTTGGAGACATATGTAGGCTAACGTAATTTTCTCAGAATTTATTGTGCAATTTTGATATATTTTCTCTATTTCACCTAAGTGTCCAAATAAATTAATAGAGGCATTTAAATAATTTATTTGGGCTTGACCATCATGTTTTCTATAGTGTGTATGATGCCTATGAACTGTTGCTACCATTGGTTGTGTCCAAATTTGATTGCTTGTATGCAGTAAAATATTAATTGCTCTATAATTCAATTTTAGTGACTGTTTGGACAGTTTCTGTTGTTAAGTAAATTGCATGGGTAAAATGATATTTGTTGTGAATCTTGTCAATAACAAAGTTGTAGATAACTTACTTATCTTGCTTGTGTCAAATTTTTATGGCAATAGGCTAAATGGTTTGAGAGTTATAGCTGTTGGAAGTTGGTGTCCAGAAATGCTTGTTCTCTGGAATTTCTAGACAGATCTGAGAAATTGCTTTGTTTGACCTTGATAGCCATTGAATCATCTTGAGATAACTATAAGAAAGTTGTAGACAGTTTTATAAGATTTCCAGAAAGTCTAAGATCATAGTATTTGGTTGAGTAGAACTCCAGATATGGCTAAAATAAGTAGCTGTTGTTTACAGCAGGAATTGACTAAGTTAATTGTAATTGTTGGTCTTATGTGATGCTTGTGTAGATACTTAGGCTAATTGAGATTAGTTGTTAGCTGCAGGTTCAATGCCTCTTACTGATGATGAACAACTTTACCTTAGGTTGCTAAAACTTAGTGAGTGTATGTTTCTTGTACTATAGAAGAGATATACGCCTACTCAGTAAAGATCAATCAGTAGAAAGTTATACATCTACTTGGTCAACAAATGTTAAACTTATTATACATCTTGTGGATAACCATGCTCATGCATATATAATTTATCATATCATCTCATCTCTTATGCATTTATGATACTAATTTGTGCATATGCATGCAATAGGTTCCCTGGAAGGAGTGACGCTCCTCGAGTTCGAACCCGAGCATCAGGAGGAGCAACAAGCAGCCCAGGAGCAGGAGGTTCAGGCGAAAGGAGGAGTCAACATGGAGGATCTTCCTGAGTGTTCTGACCACTAACCTCCCTCATTCTTGAAAGGCAAGCCCAGAGCATTATAAGCCTACTATGTTTTTACAAATATCACATGCGTACTTTATGTTTGATGCATTATATTATATGAGTTGATTGGAAATACTTGCTGCATATATTATCCTTGTCTAGATAAATATATCTTGAATCCTTTGTAGGTCCAGGATCGAATATATGCTTAGCCTTGCTTAGTCCGATAGAAGTCGGGTGATTTCCTGTCACCTGCAAGATATAGGAAGATATCTTATCATGGTTGGCTATAATTGCTATCGTGGAAATAACCATGTGTTGAGAAATAAAAAGGAGATCGGGCAGGATTGTGATAGAGAAGCAACAAGAAATGGAGGTCTTGGTGCCTATTTATCCCCGTCTGTGTCGATTAAGGACCGATTCGTTGTACGTCCTCATGTCATGTTGAACGCATGCATAGCACTTTGTTGGCCGGATAAGTCGTTCCGACCATGAAGCCGTGTAAGTGAAAGTGCGCACACTGAAGGCATTAAGGATGTGCGGAGAGCTAGTGGCGTGAGTCTAAGGGCAGGTCGGGCCTAAACTTCCTGGTAGACTGGTAGAATCTTTGAGGGTGCAGCGCAGATCGGACCCGCGAAGTTGGTTCTTGAGTTATACCAAAGGTGACCCGATGC